AGAGACAAATCTGGATCAAACAAACCTTTATTAATAATAATGAGATAGATAAAGCAATGAAGAACCAGAAAAAGTATAGAAAACAAAAAGAGGAGTTAAAATTGTGTAATTCCTCTTAAAGGGAGGCGCTCCGTCCCCRTTCGACCGTAACTTTGGGACCAAGATCTCAGCCAAGGCGGTGCAGTGGCTTTCTCAAAAGCTGGTGGAGAGTTACAGACGAGGTAAAGTGTTTTGGTTTCTCAGTTGTTCTCTGAATGGAATCATGGTATCATAAAAGATCCTGCAGAGACGAGCAATGAAGCAAACCTCTCGTACTTGCTCTGAAATTATGCAAGGAAGTTAGTTTTATTTAATCACATAGATGTAGGAGTTTAATATGAAGCAATAACTAAAGTTAAACACCTTGTTCTTTATCTCTTGTTTTGTCTTACACACGGATGACATAAGATGAAGGTAAATCTCTTTTGGTGGTTTCATGACCATCTTCATGTTTTTTTTTTTCTTTTTTTTAAGCTCTAAGTCCATGTGTTGTGCTGTGTTGTAGCGATGAACACATCCTGTCCCAGCWCATGTGGGGCACAGCTGGAACTGTGTCTCACATGTTTATCAGCAGCTGCCATGCGTTGCTATTTCCAGTTTCTGATTCATCTGAGAATAATCTGTCTGGAAATGTGTAGGCATGAGCTTAGATGGTTAACATGTTTTTTTTAACTGCTTTTTCCATTTAGTTTTTAATGTGATGCTTTAGTTGCCTTTTAGTAGTAATAATTCTTCATCACCTCTTTCTGTTGTGATTTCACTTAACATTTGGTTTCTTTAGCTAGTGCATTAAAMATAAAATGTAATCCCTCACACACACTGTAGAGTGGTATCTGTTTTTTTTTTCCATAAATGTCTGCGTATTKATTCTTGTTTCCACCTGGGACTGAACGATGTGTCTCTGCAGGCCGAGTGTTTGCCAACTCGGAGGACTCCTGCTGTCTGCTGGGGATGCGTGCCAGGGCTCTGGTCTTCCAACCTGTTGTGCAGCTGAAAGATGAGACCGATTTTGTGTACGTTCATTTAGAGTTACACAAATAACAGACTGAAAAGCATACTTTTTTAAAGAGATCGTGGACATTTTGAAGGAGGTTCTGGTTAGTTAAAATCTACTAATAGGTAATGTTTTGAATGAGCTCAGTTTGGAGAAAGTTTTATTCTGATTTGACTGATGAGCCAACAGCTTGTTTAATCCAAGATCAATGTGGATTCAGTGTGCTCTTAAAACAATGCCTATTTTTCAAATGTATGTTGGTTAATGCAGAAGTTCTTCTATAACCGTTTACACTCCATCAGTTTTGCTTTAGGTAGTTTTTACCATCAGTGAAATCAGTAGCTCTTTGCAACCACAAATATATAGGCAGCAGCAACTAGCTGTAGCACTTCTTGTGAAGGCTGGGACAATTCCTGCAGCATTTTCATAATATTTCTGTTAGAATAACTGTAATGGAAAATGATGGTTGTGCAAATGTTTCTAAAATAGTGTTGACTTGAACTGCTATAACAAGTAGTTTTAAAACATCAAAGTCCACTCCATCAGTTTTGTCCAAGATAAAACACTTAATGAAAAATCATCCTAAATAATTCTAACCTTCAACTTTTCTAGTGGTGTATGCTAATGCTATGTTGTAGACCTGTAGTGGTGTTAATTTCATATAATGCAAGATATTTGTGCCAAATTTTGTCGCAATTTTGACGACCTGGCAATCTTAAGGATGCCCCATCTTTTGTGGTGGCTCCAAAGATAATTTTATATTCCTGCAGTGTGTGGTGTGTTAAGRCTGATCTGTTCGGCTCAAAAAGGCATCAGGACTGTTCGAATCTAAAAGCAGGGATATTCAACATGTTGAATTGCCTTGGCCAGATATCCCAGCATGTGTGGTGTTCCCTGAGGCAAAACGAGCATGCAGCCTGTTGAATGTGGCCTGTARTCAATCAGACATGGAGGTGACAGAAACACAGAGGGGAATCCAAARYACAAGAGACAAAACAACTGCCATGGAGCACCAGAAMGTTTGGTGGAAGTCACTTTTTCTCTGTAAAAATACTCCTTGAACTATCACTGTTGCTTTTTTCCTTTGTCATCTGAACTCACATTTGATTTTGAGAGGTCTTGTGTGAGATTTCCCATCTGACATCTGAATGTTGGTGAGTGAAATCTGTTCATGTGTGGTGTGATGCTTTGCCGTTTGGCTGTACACCACACACTGTAGGACCAAACCTGTTAAATATATGATTTTTATGATCATGTGTGGGGTCTCAGTCTTTGAAAGTCAACCAACAATTTTAAAATCTTGTGTGAACCAGGCATTACAATGTTATTTTGGCATTAGGGTATTCTTGTTGGAAATGCCTAAGGCTACACAGGAAGCGTTACAACCAGTTGCCACTGTTATTCGTGCGCATATAAATAATGATAGAAATAAATGGAAATAATGGTGGGATCTAAAATTGACTCCATTGTACAAAGTTTCTAAAATTACCACAAATTTTAAAGACTGAAGTTTATTCTTGGCTTCATTTCATCAGTCTGGTCAAAATTAACGGTTTCTCCAAACTCAGACCTATCAAAGTGTTATCTAAGATATTAAATGCTCACAACCTCTCAATGGAACCCCGCTTTAAACTGTTCGACCTGTTCCTATAATGAACACGAAACCTCTCTTCCTTCCCACAGTCATCGGATTCCCAAAGAACAGTGGTGGCTGAAGCTGCGTCCTCTCATGAAGATCTTGGCCAAGTACAAGACGAGCTACGACGTGTCCGACTCAGGACAGGTGGAGCATGTCATCCACAGCCGACCCAAAGATTCCGACGCTTCTGTCGCCATGTGAAGGCCCTCGCTGTGCTGCTTCCCACAGAGGTCCTGTCTGTGTGAGACCTAACCCATGTGTGAGATGTTAGTCAAGATGTTGTGAAGGAGCTGCAGTGAACAGCTGTCTCTCTTTGGCCCTCATATTGTGTTCATTTCCTGTGTTAGTCATTTCCATGACTCATGAAGTCTGACTTAGAAGTACTCCTGTTATTAAACAAACAAACAAAACAAAAAAAAAACTCACAGCAGTCTTGCCATGCACTTGCGTGTTCTCGTTGCCCTGGATGTTTAGTGTTGTTTTTAAATTGCACTTTTCTCTGTCTCAAGTTGCTTAGACAGGCTCTGATTGCAGAGCTGCACAAGGACAGAATAGACACTTTATCTGCAGTAAAAACCAGAGCGTGTGTCTGCCAAGCACGAGCGTGAGGTTCAGCATATTTATGTGAGGCTGCTGTGTGCTGTGCTTTACAGAGAACTAATATTTATATATTTAACATTGTTTATTTTGCTTGTAAACATGAATATATTAATTATTGTACTGTAGGCCCAGCTGTACTTTGTAGATGTTTTATTGCACCAAATTAGATGAGACCAAGATTTATCGCTTAATAAAACTAGTCTTGAGAAGTGGAACGGATTTGTCAACTCTTTCATTTATGCAATTATTATTATTCCTGTGTGTGTGTGTATGTGTATGTACTGTGTATATATATATATATATATGTATATATATATATATATATATATATATATATATATATATATATATATATATTGCATTTTTAAACATTAACAGTTGAAGAAATCTATTTTATCTAGTCTTTAAAATGCTTATGAATTCTGTTATTTAGTCAAAGTGAATTTTTAAATTTAAAGTTTCATGGCTAATTCATATCAATTTATATATTTGTCTTTTTTACTTAAATTTGGCATAAACTACCTGACATACGGAAGCGTAGAGCTGTCACATTAATGAAATTATTTTTAAACTGGATCTCGTTATGACAAGAAAATTGTCTTGTAAAAATGAGAAAATATGTCGTTATAATGACAAAAATATCTTGTTATAATGAGAAAACTCTTGTAAAAACGAGAAAACTATCTTGTTATATCAAGTTAACCATCTCGTTATAGCGTGTTATGGTTTTTTCTGGTTTGTCACTTTCACGGAAGTTTATTGCCTGRATGGCGTGATGGAGAACACGACTGAACCACAATATAAACAACAACGAACAGAACACATTATTTGGGTTTGTGCTCAGACGTTGCAGCTAGTAGCACTTCTTTAGCGATATGCACTCTAATCTGAATTCAGACCCTATAATTTCAAAAATATTATTCAGTACTAACTTATTTTGTCATTTTTTAGTTTAGAAATGTGTTCCTCTTGCAAATTTCTTCTTCATAAAAAGGCATAAAATGGCTGTCGTGTTCTCCATTACCGCCATCCAGGCAATAAACTTCTGTGAAAGTGACAAACCAGAAAAAAACATAACACGTTATAACGAGATGGTTATCTTGATATAACAAGATAACCATCTCGTTATATCAAGATAACCATCTCGTTATCTTGATATAACAAGATAGTTTTCTCATTTTTAGGATAGTTTTCTCCTTTTTGCAAGGTAGTTTTCACATAACGAGATACTTTAGTCGTTATAACAACATATTTTCTCGTTTTTACGAGAGTTTTCTCGTTATAATGAGATTCAGTTTAAAAATAATTTCATGTCATGTGACAGCTCTACGCTTCCGTACTGACTCCCTCTGGAAGTTTTTGGATGAAATCCTGTAGTTAGATTTCATTTCAGCTTGTGATGTGTTCAGGGTGTTTCTGCCTCTCACTCAACAGCTGGTGAAAAGGCTCCAGCTGTTCTGAACAGAGTCTGGTCATGTGGGAAGCATTTAGGCAAGACACAAAAAAATGAACCGATTTCTACTTATTTTATAAACTTTTACGTGGTTTACTTTTGGTGACTTGTTTGAAAAGATCAGTGAAGGAAGAGTCATCCTGAAAATTATGGAGTTTAGTATTTTTCCTATTTTATTTTCCAAAAAAGAAAATCATATTTGTAGAAAATTAATGCTTAAACTCAAAAAGAAAAAAATTGTATAGGTCTTCTGGACGGGTTCTTCTTTAATGAAACGTTTCGTCTCTYCTCCAAGAGACTTCTTCAGTCTGAGAGTTTCAGGCAAAATTCAGGCTATTAAGCCCTGCCTCCATGTGACTGATACATCACATGGCTATCGTTGACACCTAATTAACACTTATTGTTAACAGGGGGTGGAGTGATACTGGCAATAGCTGCGCTGTAGGAGGGGGACAACTGAAAACGGAGGCCTCCACCTCTGTTTAATGATGTACGGTCTTTCTTCACAAAAATGGCTTCTTTTACTCCTCTCTCAAACCAACGTTCCTCTCTATCAAGAATGAGAACATCCTCATCTCTGAAAGAGTGACCGCTGGCCTGTAAATGAGTGAAAACTGCAGAGTTGTGGCCATTAGATGTAGCTCGTCTGTGTTGGGACATTCTTTTGAACAGTGGCTGCTTTGTTTCCCCGATGTATAACTAGTCGCAGTCCTCCTGGCACTTAACAGCATATACAACATTGCTCTGTTTGTGCCGGGGCACCGGATCTTTGGGGTGAACCAGCCTTTGCTGTAATGTGTTTTGGGGTTTGAAAGCTACTGGGACATCATGTTTAGAAAATAAACGTCTCAGTTTCTCCGAAACACCCGCAACATACGGAATAACCACTGGTTTGGGTCTGGGTTTGGGGTCTTCATTTTCACCTGAAGGTTGCATGGAATCCTGTCTGTGTTTCCTGTCTGCTTTCAGGAAAGCCCAGTCAGGATAACCACACTGCTCCAGGGCCTGTCGTGTGTGTGATTTCTCTTTCTCCCTGGCTCCTGGGTTTGTAGGGACACTGTCTGCTCTGTGGTACAGAGTCCTGATCACTCCTAACTTGTGTTCCAGTGGGTGGTGGGAGTCTGTGATGCTCCTGCTCCTGCTTTGAGTTAATTGTCAGTCGCAGGTGCGYCCTGTTACCTGATTACCTTCCAGGTCTGTTGGAGGCGGAGTCAGAGCGGTCTTAAGCAGCCGGCAGTGCAGGTGTGAGAGAAGCAGAGAGAAGCAGGAAGAAGGCAAGAGAAGCACGCAGAAGCACGGTTGTGGAACAGAGTCAGCAGCTGAAGCGCAGCAGCTCGGTAGGCAGCAAGTTGGCGCAGCCGAAGGAGCAGTGAGGAACCAAGTCGTGATTGCTGGTGTGAGAAAAGGCATCAGGTAAGCTGGGATCCGAAGACGTCAAAGAGCGGGACTCCAACGGAGGTGTGGAGCATGCTGGCGATCTTCATAAGGACCAAAGGGGCGTACGAGGACGGCTTGGTGGCGCAAAAAGGCTGGAACTGACTGAAGGTTGATGCACGGACTGAGACGAGAACGACAGCTTTCTTCTGGAAGGAGACGACTCCGAGAGAGGACGTTAAATGGTGGACAAGAAGGTCTACCGGGAGCACGACGGTGGACAGGACAGTGACCAGTCAGACCTTGATGTGGAGGCAGATCTGGTACTGGACCACACACCTGAAGTGGTCCAGGTGGTGAGACAAATGCTCTGTGCATCCATCGTATGGAGCACTGAGAGCGACACCCACTCACAGCTTTTTACTCCTAGACACTTTAAATAAATGGCCTTCTAAAGGTTTAAACTGGCAACCTGTGTCGTGTTTCCAATTATGTTATGGCTCTCGAGCCGGGTCGTAACAGAGTCAAAACGCAAATATTGGTCTGTGTGGGTGGGCTTGCGATATACGCCAGTTTCCAACCGTCCTCCATCCGAAACCGAGTCATCGCAATCCAGGAACGCCAACCTGCCATTTTTTACATCCTCTCGTGTGTACTTAATATATTCATCCACAGAGTTGATGTGATCAGTGAAATGTTGGACTTCCTGGGCTTTAATTTTAACCCAGGTGTCGTCAACATATCTGAACCAATGGCTCGGTGGCACCCCTGAAAAGGACATCAARGCTCTCTTTTCCACTTCCTCCATGTACAAGTTTGCAACAATAGGAGAAACTGAGGATCCTGGGAATGCTTAAACTAACAACATTTTCAGCCCATTTTTAAAAGGTGGTTGTAGTTGTGATGTCTACTTTTAGTTTATCCGCCTGATAAAGTCTTGAGTTTAACCATCCGCTGCTTGGTTTAAAGTCTTTGAGGTCCCACAGACTCGTACGGATTCATACTGTACAGCTCAACAGGAAGTGGCTTTGATTCAATGACAGAATTTTAAGATTTACAGCCTCAACATGTTTGTGTCTGGATAACAATAAGTCGCTGACAACAGAAACTGTTTGGTATATGATAAAAATTCTGCTCAACACAAACCATTCAACTCCTCAGTCACAGGGAATTGTGACTCTAAAGTTTAAAATTCTTTATTCTGCAAATGGAAAAAAATTAACACACATGAACATCATTTTGTATTCAAGAAGGCCTGAATGCTGGTATTAAGGCTTTAAACTAATGAGAAAAACTTTTTTCTATGATTTTCATCTTTTTGTACGTTTAAAGTACATCCTACCAGTGTCCAGATATTTCCTGTAAATTGAAATTTAAATCTGAAACAGAAAAAGAAAATGGAATATCTAAAATCTAAATGAACTCATGCATCAAACAACTTAACTGTCTCTGCAAACAAAATGATCAAAAAGACAGAAAACTTGGTTCAAAGAGATTCAAAATGACCACAAATAGACAGAAAACAACTACAAATATTCAAAGTCAAAACCGATCAAAGGAACTTAAAACAACTACAGAAGGTAAACAAAGGAAAAGTGAAGAAATGCAAACAAACTACAAAGAGATGAAAGTGAAAGCAAATTAAAGTGTGTCAAAACATCAACAAAAACAGCCAAAACAACCAGGAAATGATCAACAACAACATGCCAAATGACTTCAAAGAGACAGTTACAAAAAGTCTAAAATATAAAGAAAAGGCACATTGCTGTGCTGGGAGTTATTTTTGTCTAGATTCATAAAACTTTATTATTAATACTGAAGAAAAATACTCCTTATTTTTTGATAAAACAGCAGAAAACATCAAGAACCATTTGAAAGTTGGGAATAAATTGGGTATTTTTTAGCACTTCCACACTTAAAAGAAACAAAAAGTGAATTTGTCAGGAGAAATACAGAATCTGCCTTAAACCATGCAGAGAATATTTTACTAACAGTGATACGTCCAGCAGATGGCGGCAGAGCACTGCCACATCTCCACAGAGGCCCGGTTCACCGGGTCCACAGTGACACGGATTCCCTCCATCACTGGCTGTCCACTCCGTCTCTTTACAATTCAGCGTATGCTGGCTTATTACTAAAACAAATTACCTGTGTGAAACCTTGTGCCAGCGTGCAAAACTCTGCATGTATGTGTGTTGCCATGATTAGGAATTAAGCTTATCATTTGAAAGAAATTTTCAATTTCCCATGGGTGTATTAATTGTGTATACGTGTCGGGCTCCTTTTTTTTCAATCGTAAATGGACCTTTTTCATATTCTGCCCTAACTGGGAGTAATTACAGACATATGTGACTGTGCTGAGGCCATGTCTTTGTGACAGCAGAGTGA